ATTGGATATATCTTTTAGTCTCAGTAATGGAGGTATTAGGTTGATTAGCTCATGTCAATCCTTAGGTTGGATGCTTCCATGAAGATCCGATGTTTTCTTAGTATCGTTTAGTGATGGGTATGACACCTACAAAGAAAAATATGATCGGCATCGGATTTGAAGTATAACCAACTTCCTTCGGGTGGATACAATAGCAAGACGTGAACATTTAGGCAATATGACTACTATGATTATAGTCATAATGAAATAACTGTCATATATGAATTTGAGACAAAGCGTAACTAAATATCTGACCAACTTACTCACAGAAACCATTTCACATGATGTTTGCTGTAGTTGAGGAATGATCAGTGGCCCAACCTCGTTGATTCCATAGCTTATATATGTTGGAACACCTATCTAGATTTGTAGATCGGGCCTTTTAGACCTTGTAGCAATTATTCTAGCTTACCGAATAGAGAACTAAATCATCTGAATAACTTGTGGTGTTTTTAAACCCAACGGCACTTTCCAATGTGTAATTGACATTTTCTAAACTAAAAATGACGTTTAGTGAATCGAACTACTGTTTATAGAATAAATACATAGTGGATGATCAAAACCATCTGGAACCAAGTTCTTGCAAAGTTGTAAGAAATCTCTAATGATGCTAGACAATATTACCACATTTTATACCTTCTAGAGGTTTCTTCACAATTTGTGAACAGTCCAAACTGCCGAAAACTGCAGTCACTATCACAGCAACACCCACTTTCACAATAGTTTTGTATAATGTTGCAATGGCACGGAAAATCTTTGAAAATGTTTTAGTATGCTGCGTACCTTCACTATTCAAAAGCTTTGATATTGACAAAAACGTCAAAAGCCTGAAAATCATATTTAAACTATTTTTCTTTGGTATATTTGAGTTCAGTATAAACGTACGTAATGTTCGGGGGTGATACGGAGAACAGTGTGTGTGAGTCTGTAAAGAAAAAGAACAAAAAAGAAAGCTATCTGACGACTCAGTTAAGAAATATGGTTTTTAAAAGACAACACCTGACAACAGTCAGTATTATCATGAGTGTAAGATTAAGGCAGTATAACAATCGGTTTCGAATGCGGTACAACTCATATTTCCATAGGTGAGACGCGACAATAAAAACCATTAACTCAACAAAACAAACTGAAACATCCAAAATGTGTTGTCTTAATGTTAAGCTACTACAATAAGACTAATTCCTTAAACTTTATCCGTGTTTTAAGCATTAAAAAGCGTTATTAGTCGAAAGTAATCGTATTTGAAAGGGTAAATAGGAAAACTTTGTTATTAGGACTTATATGTGTTTATCTATCCGTTTGTAACTCTTCGTCCAGCACTTTCACTTAGAAAACGAGTACTGAATATAGGGGCGTAATTTTTACGGCGACTGCATGGTAAGCATTTGAAGTTATCCTCATCTTACTACAGAAGGTTCAGTAAATATAGAAGAGGATTAAGTATTTATTTTTTTGAGATTTCTCAACAGTTGATTGAACCCTTTACGAAATAGTATTTATTATCGAAAATCGGTGCGCTTACCTGACATAAATAAATTGACTGCAGTTATCGTTCATAGGGTGATGGATTATATTTTGAAACTATATATTTGTTGGTATGAAATTGTATTTCCGTGTACCCTTGTTTCCTTTCTCCTCAGACTAACCAAAAGCACATTCATTCGTTAAACGGGGAGACTGATCTCAGATGAATAAGAACTGTTGTCCTTAAATGGGCAGCGTCTCACGAATCTTATTACCTCAGTCATGTCGTTCCACATGTCTGTATCGAACAGTGAGGCAAAGAATATTTTTCGACAAATGATTGTTGCAGCTGGATTACAATATAGGGAACAGTTAACCAAAAAATGAACAGTCTAGGAAAACAAGTTCTCATCGTTTTGTTATATAAGGTGGCCATCGCAACGAGAGATAGATCTACATCAGATATGTATGCAGAATGAAAGGGCGTCATCAGCGGTCGACGATATCCTCATTAACTCGGGGGTACGTTTCACTAAGCATATTGGTTACTTGCTGTGGTAGCCGGTCGTTCGCTTCTGTTCATATTGTAAGTGAATTGCTCACCGTATCCAGATGATCACTGACCCTCAACCATAACTTACTACCCACTGTTCATAAGCGAGGTCCATGGTTACGTTGTTTGGCAGAAAATCAAGCTGGAAGTACTTCGTCCTCTACTGATGTCGAGAGCTTCAAACTATGTTGTGATCGATTTAGTTAATGAAACGTATGGGAGCGAGTCATTACACAGGATATCTGTAGTATTCCTTGCTGTATGCTTAGACAGTCACAACTCCGTGGTTTTTTTGATAGTTTGTCCCATATTTACTGAACAGGTAAATTATACACCTTTGCAGCACACATCATTCGGCTGGGAAACGGAATACAGCTGCGACGTGGCCGAACCGAACCTTTTCCAAAAGCTCACTTTCTTTTTAACCAGGGGCTAGCCGCTTGATGCAGTACTCGAATTTGGGACTCACCAACACTGTCAAAAACGTTTTAGCGCTACGTATTGACCATAGGGTTGTAAAACCTGTGGAGGCTGTCGTACGGCAGTATGTAGTAGTTCTTAGGTCTTGGCTAACGATGACTAAGTCATTGTGTGTCTGAACAACAGCTAGCTCATCGTTATTCACCGTGTGTGTATCTGTCCCTATGATCACCATGCATCACAGTGCACTTGAAAGTATTTATCGGCAGCTGCCAAGTTTGAGACCATTCAGATAACTTCTGCAGGTCATTCTGAAGTTCTAAACTATCGCCTTCCATATCTTGAAATCGTCAACATATAACAAGACCGATGATGATAAGAGGCGAGGAAGGTTATTTACATACAAGAGAAATAACACAGACCCCAAAACTGTACCCTGAGGCACTCCGCTAAGAAGTTTCCCAGCCAGACAACTTGGAGTTTACCCGTACTCTTTGTTGCCGCACAACAAGAAAGTCTTATCCACATCAATAGATTACATCCAACCCCGACATTTTTTAAAACTCATATAACAACCGCTTGTGAGGAACTTTGTCAAAAGCTTTGCTGAAGTCAATGTTGGCTACGTCTATATGTAACTTTTGGTCTTTAAGAGCGCACCAACTTTCACGAGCCATTAATTAGTAAGACATAAATAACCTGCTCTAAAGCCATGCTGCTTTTCTGAAAAAATTCGGTTTACATCGAAATAAGTAAACAACTTCCGAAAAATTTGTTCTGAAATTTTAACAAGCACGCTGATTAGGTTAACGGGTCGGTAGTTGTCAGGTTTATGTTCAAGCCTTTTACTAGTCGACCCTGGGTTACAGATGGATTAAAACATACAATTAAGGAGTTCGCAACGAAATTAGATAATTCCCTCAGTAACCTAGGATGCATTTCATCGGGTCGCGTGGATTTGCCTATATCAAGCTTATTTAGTAGAGTTCTTTAGTGGTAACATTGTGCATGTGTGTGATTTGTATAAACTAACGGGGTGTCTACGGTATATACATTGCTAAAGTGGTCTGAGAATACTTAGCTTTACTATAGTCGTCCTTCACTAATGATGCAGTATTACTGTCTCCATAGTGCTGGGGTATTTTCTCTTCTCTTAGTCTTGGTTTATGTACGAATACATTTGTGTAGCAGATCAGAAGCTCATTCGAGTGGCTCCCCAACTAAACATTGGTTATCACTCAAGTTATTAAGAAAATAAAGCTGGGGATCGGATCTATAATTTTTGGACTATTCAAATCGAACGTGGTGTGTAAGCAAATCTTTCAACGAATGACACCTTAAATTTGTCTTATTACTCTGAATGATCAGGTTTGTAGCTGGGTTCTGAAAAGCTAAAAGTCACTTAGTTTTGTATGTAAAGTTATAAAAAGTGCTATTCGTTTCAGTTTGTGCTTCGTAGGTCGTTGTTTATACTCATCCCCGGTCTTCTGGACCATCGTATTTGATATGTTCAATCTTTAGCGTGTATGTGTTTGGAATGTCTCTTCGACAGAAATATATTCACATGTACTAGTAAACATGATTTGTATATCGTGTAGTTCACAACGTAATAGTAAGGTCAAAAAATTAGGTTTGAGTCTACTGGTTTCTTAATATGAACAAAATTTTTTGGGCTATCGATTAATTAGTTGGTTGACAGTTGTTAGTGTTTATTTTGACAGATAATTCCCATTTAAACATTAAAATTAAAACACGAAGTTCAGCGAAGGGATCTCTTTTCAACGAATTTATTATCAAGCTGTACAATCGTATATATATAAAATTTTGTAAAAGTACTAATTCCGTGAGGAAATGTGAACACAGTTAACCATGACATAATAAAAAGGGGTTATAATACTAGATTACGTAATACGAATAATAACAATAGATTTAGTGAATATAATAAGATGATTAAAATGTTTTTTGTTATAATACTTAAAGGTCATAGAGGTGTGGAAAATAAATAAATAAGGTAATATGATGAGTATTTACGAATAAAAAACAATGAGAATATAAGACATAAGTAAAAGGGGAATGCAACATTAATAATAATAATAGAATAATCAAAATAATTAAGGCCAAGGTAACGATAGCGATAAGACGTGCTTCTTTTGTACGCATAGTTCTGGTTTAAGCTCCTGAATGGTAAGAGCTTCGGCTATTTTTAAGAGTTGGATACGAATCATATAAACAACCTTAAAATCAATTTGTGGATCTGTAGAATGGCTACAGTCGATAAGGTGTTCAAGTATGATAATGATCCTTCCGCAGGTTCACCTACGGAAACCTTGTTACGACTGTGTTCACATTTCCTCACGGAATTAGTACAGCTTGTACAGCTTGATAATAAGTTCGTTGAAAAGAGATCCCTTCGCTGAACTTCGTGTTTTAATTTTAGTGTTTATTTTGTTTGTATTTCGTGATAATCCAATCATTTCTGCTCTCCTTAAAGCAACAAGTAGCCTCGCAAGTTCCAAGAGCCGTAATGCATTCTGGTATGTCGAGTATCACCAGTACTGGAACAAATGTTAGGTTCCATCAAACAGCTCGCAATGTCTCTGCTCAACCTACGCTTGTCCCAGCTGGAAGTATGTCTACACTCTTACAACCCCTTGGCGATCAGGGGAAGCTAACAATAAGTGCATTGGCTCAACTGTCAGAGGAGGACCAGAAAAGGACACTCGGGGAACATCTTTATCCACGTGTCAAGGCAATGTATCCTAACTTAGCCAACAAGCTTACGGGAATGCTTTTAGGAGTAGATAACGCAGAGGTTATAAATCTTTTAGAATCTGAAGAACTGCTACGCGCTAAGGTAAGATATTTTGTTTATTCATACACAGTGATAATGGTTTTCCAATTTGATCAGAAACCCAAATGCTATATATTAGTTCAGCGTTTTACGTATTCAATGTGTTTATTTAAGTTCTTCAGAGAATGACAACTATTATGCGCATGTAAATTCTATGAATGGTTGATGGTATGGTTTAGACGACGTACTGTTATTATTGGGTTTGATGGCTCTGCGAAGAAAGCATAGCATAAAGTATCAAAGTCTTACTTAGAAATATCATAACAGAAATAACCAACCAAAAGGAAAGCTCATTAATGATTATGGGGTAAGAAATGAGGTATATCAGTACCCAATCTTTAACGAATATCACTTGAAAGTCTGTTTCATATATTTCTAAGACATGATGAGATACAAAAAACCTGTGCATTACCTCTATCGTCGACGACCATGTCTAGTAGCCACAATTTATTTATTTATTTATTTTAACACATAAGTATAGGTACAGGGAGGCACCAAATACATATGCGCCACACAAATCTCAATTGATTTGTGTGAGGGCTGTGATACTGCCCGGGTGCCCAAACCAAAGCAAGTGGTTTTCTTAGGGAGCCACACCCCAAGCCTTCGACCTGAACGTCTGACCCACAAGGCAGTGGAGCATCGTGAGGAGATGCAGTCCCATGGTAGCCGGTGACCAACGATTGGTTCATACGCCATTTGTTCCCTCAGGCAGGAGACTGGAGCCCATGTGCACCATTGGTTTGGGGTCCGGTTAAAGCGCCAGACATTCGCTTTTCGTCCTCTCATTTTTGTAAACAACACCCCTGCCACGAGAAGGCAGTGAGTAGAACTTCCCTGGCAGAGGCTATATACGCGTGGCCATGTGAGAGCATTTCGAGAGGGAGAGCGGACTCTCCCCACTCTCGGCCGTACCAGGGCATTTGGGGGCTAGTAGCCACAAAGCGAACTGCTACGTACTATACTAGCCTAATAATAGATCTATCGCCTATCCCACAAGTGATAAAACTTATTAGGGGCCGTATATAGTTTTTTGACCCCATACTGAGACTTCATCAGTCGTCTACTGTTCAGGACTGATGGAACTTCCAAAATTAACGAGACCAATGCGCTCAATAACCTGGATTTCTACAGCCACCTACTGATGGTTTATTCTCAAGCAACGGATTGCGCTTAAATACAGTTTATGAGAAAGAAAGAATCCCGAACATTTTAACACGATACCCGAGAGTCCAGTAGACAATTTTGTCAGCGTCATGGAATACGGATAGGTTTTCAGCAATACTCCACCTGGGACCAATAGTGTTAAGATGCCTCTGAAGTTGTCGCACTTATTAAAATCTTTCTCTGGTATCTTGACGAGGTGTTTCTTTTTAGGTTGTCGGTACTTGTTCCTCTTCCCAAATCTTACTGGAGAAAACGTTGGATGTCTTTTGAGTTACCACCACCATATCTGACTATATGTGCTGCTTTGATGCGCGGTGGGTTCAGTGGGTCTGATTCATTCAGGAGCCCTTCAAAGTATCGTACCTACTTATCCCACCGCTCCTGATCCTTATTATTATTGTTTTAACACCCAGATATTGGTACAAGGAGACACCAAATACATATGCGCCACACATCTCATTTGATATATGTGAGGGCTGTGGTACTACCCGGGTGCCCAAACCGAAGCAGGATCCTTAACGTTTGGATATTTTTTTTCTTGACTGATCACCGTTGTATATTATATTTCCCTTATAGCTTCACAGTTGTGTGCTCTAATAGTCTAAAGCAATTGTCAAGCCATAGTAAAGTACGGAAAAGACAATCCTATCCAACCTGAGATCTTAGAGCTAATCCAGATTCGTTTATTCTTGTAATACTTTATTTATCAGTGTTCATCTAATCACTTTTAGCTCTTGCATTGTTGTATCTAATTTTATAGTTAGTATATTTCATGGTTAAGTATTTCAGCTTTTACTTTTTAAATGTATTGTCGTTTACTGTTTTCACACGTGAAAATATTTTTCACATTTGTTGTAAATTGTGACGTTAGTTCAACATCAGTTTACACCTCTTTATTTAACTGAAGTAAAACTAGAAGTTTCTGTGAGACTGTTTCAACAAATTTCTTTGTTATAATAAGCAAACAACTGACCTATTGTTTCTAATCGTTTACATTAGTTTAGAATGTGACTGCCGTTATCATGCGAGGGAAAGATACTCAGGTAATAAAACGGAATTGAGCAGTAAAATGTAAACCGTTAACTCAACAATTAAAATTTTCAGCCACTGATTTTTTGAACAAACACTACTCACTAGTTTGTAGTAAAATAAAATTAGTTCTCACAAGATAATTAATCTAAACTACTGACCTGTAAACAAGTGTCTCACATGACTTGTTATGTTGGGTTGTTCTTGTCGACAAATATTATTGATTAATTTACAGCATTAACTAAACATTTCCTTGTTTTTTCAGTGTGAAGAAGGCATTAATGTACTGAGAAGCAGCCAAAATCAACAAGGCGACATTGCGGAAGGTAGACATACTTCCACAGGCCAGAATGGTGATGGCTCAACTGGAACAGGGTCTATAAAACCTGAAGATTCCAATAACTAAATCGAGGGTATCTTCCAAACAACATTCTTTATTTAACTTTATTGTCTGACAGTCCTATTAATTTCACTTCAACTGTTAATTAGGGTGATTAGTCCCAAAAAATGTTTTATTAGTTTGAGGTTTCTCGCTATTATACATGGTGATCAACAGTTCTTTATGTTTGATGAATCTACTGCACTTGTTTGTTTTCAACTGTTTTTTTCTGAACCGGATGTTAATTGACTTTCATGTTATTGTTTTTTACTAAGTTTGTTTGATGTTGAATTACAGTTTTGGATAATAAATGTAGACTTGTGATTTAGTAAGATCACTGCAGTATTGCTCAAATTCGAAACAGGGCTCCTGAAAATCTGGAACGAATGTTTATATCTTTCTCTATAATACTCAATAACCTAAAAGTTTAAGTATTTCTCCATCTAAAAGTGTATGATGTAAATCTCAACTGTAGCTGTTTCGTTGATGTGGTTTTCCATAGACAACCAGTTTCTGAAGTGATGATTCTCACAGTGAACGAAGGGTTCTCGGATAAATTTTCTGTAAATTAGCGTGCGTTGATTCGCGGATTTTCGTCTGCGGCGGTCGTGGCTTGTGGTGCATAAGTAACATATAAAATAAAGGACATTATATTTGTGTTTGGCCTCAGGCAGTTGTTTTGTTCTTCGCTATCATATTGCCAGGTCAACAAGATGACTAGTGGACCACTTTTTTTGGTCTCTCAAAGGTAATTATTTTTTTATATATGTGGTTAGCCGGGAAGTGAAGACCACCGTCATACCTTAATAGCACTCAAGATTACCTTGTTCTCAATCAAACCACGTCTTCATTTAATATTTCCATTCCCACTACCAACTTTCATCTATTTTCGAATTCTGTCACACGTACCATCGATGATTAGCTCGATTCCAATAAATACTATTTCAGGTTTCCTGAAACTACGTTTCAAACTGCATATTTGAACTTTGATTGCCCGAACCGTTTATGGTGTCGGACAACGGGCTTCGCTAGTTACATTTGGAGCCTTACGCTAGCGATGTAATGTATGTCTCCACAACACCCATATAGTATCTTTACTTGGCCAAACCTAACCAGTATGGAAAGTCAGTGCAACTTGCCCATCGTGTGAAGGAAGATACAATAGCAAATTTGATAGTAGGATAAACTCTTCGGTTTATCGCGTCTACAATGTCCGTCTAGGTGTTCAGTAGGGATTCGGACATGCTGTTGTCTCTTTGTCATTCCTGTGTATACCACCACTGGTTGCTCAGATTATGTAGAAAAGGAGTTCCACAATGGGCTTTCTTATCTTCAGAAGGTCTGGCTCCTGAACGCAGTGCTATCTACTGTGTTCGCAAATGCTCGAAAATATTGCAGGATTATCCGAACCATGAAAGGTGGCTACAACTTAGACGTGGATTAATAAAGGTTACTCAATGATTGTGAATAATTAAAGTAAGAAGTTTCTTGAAGGTAGCGCCAATCGTCTTATCAGAGAAACGTATTTATTTACATATTCGATAGCAAGCCCTGAACGTAATGCTAGTTAGCACTCGTCAGTAAAGTAAATCGGAAGTCTTGAGTGAAATGGTGTTACGCAGTTTTAAAATTAAGAAATGACAGTGATCTTTACTATTTTGTACAACTTCAAAGAAATGTTCATCATATGTGAATTATGAATCCTGAATTAATACTTGAATAGTTAAAGTAAAACGGCTAGAGAGAATGACTTGAGTTCAGCTAACTGCAAATTAAATTACAAAGGAAAAAGTTCTGAATTTTGAAACAAATCTAAATACTATGGTACATTTAGTTTGTCGTTACCTATGGGATTTAGGGTGTGTATTTCACCCTACTTGGAATTCATGATCAGGAGATACTATCGAATCATCAACTAAAGATGCACATCTACCGACAGACATCACTTACAATCTTGAATGTCGACAACCGTGAAATACTGAGCTCAGACAGGCACTAAAATGTTCAGTGGGTATGCTTATATTATTATTCGTAAGGATTTGAGTTATCTACTTGTTGATCAGTCCATCATTGTGTACATTGTTTCAATTTTAATCATATGCTTGTGTGTATTGAAATATAATCATTTTGATCGGCACGTTATTTGATCTTTAGGTATTAACATGTTTAAAAGAATCAGACGTTTTTGCAATTTAAGAATCAATACAATGTTTTGATAATAAATACTTATTCGGATGAGAGTTCTGTAAAAATCTTTTATCACACCAAAGATTAAATTTGAACTGGACAACCATTAAAATTCGGAGGGTATCAAACTTCAAGTATGGGACTTCTCAGTAGTGCGTAACCACAATGGGTTGATCTAGGAACTTCTAATCCTGCAAAAACTTTGAAATGACTGAGGTTTGACATGTAGGCTACTGGTTGCCAGCTCAGTGACCCAAGGTTATGAGTTCGGTATCTGGTGTAAGAATGAGCTGTTTTGGAGTCCCACATTCGGGTGAAACAGCTGTCGAGTTCTTCTTGGTCTTCGACTGCTTTCTAATGGGTCTATCCATAATGTGAATTATCAACTAAAGATTTCATTGATATCTGAGTATATGTTATTTCTGCTTTGATGTTAGATATTTCTGGATATTAACTAGGAAATGAATTAAATATAATGATATTGTGAGTCAGTTAAAGCTAGACCACCATGGAAAACCTGAAAGCACTGGACGGCCGTTTCGTCCTATTGTGGGACTCCTCAGCAGTGCGCATCCACGACCTCGTCCCCTGCGAAATTCGAACCCAGGACCTACTAGTTTCGCGCGCGAGCACTTAACCACTAGACCATTGAGCCGGCATCCAACGGTGTTCATGTCTAACTTCAACTAATCCACGAAATTGAGCGACATATCCACCATTGTCTTCAGTGAGTTTCTATCCCACAACAGACCTGGTTGAACTCCACTGGTCACTGCTTTTCACTAGAACTCCAGGATATACCTCTTGAAGCCAGTCACTAGTGAGCATATGTTGATTATTATCAGAAGGGGTTTTGTAGAGATTGTAGTGATTTCAATCATTAAGATCATGAGTCAGTTGAAGCTAGACCACCATTGAAAACCTGGAAGCACTGGACGGCTGAGGAGTCCCACAATAGGACGAAACCTTTGTCTTATTAATTATAACATCACTTAGGATAGTGTTGTATTTGGAGATGTTGCTTTTGCCCTTGCGTTTGTTGAGACCTACTGATGCAGATGCTACTGCTATACTAGTCTTCTGTTATATTTCGCTCTTACGGTTATAATCCAGCTATTCCTATTGCTTAGTATTCTTGGACACAGATTCACTCGACAAGTCCACAAATCAGAACGCGGTTGAACAGGGAAGAAATTGTATTCCAAATAACAAGGTTAGATGGAAGAAAGAAGCACAAAAGGAAAACCGTTAGTATATTTATAGTTGTTACGTAAGAAGAATCTAGAGTCTTCTCCATGTGTCGACTAGCGCTGATTGGATAAGAATCAGCCAATCAGCGTGCGCCAAAGCAATCGTACATTGAGCATGCCTAAATCCAGTCTATGTCCCATAACATCTTCATCTGCATTTGTTCGTGTGTATGGACTAGAAGAGTTAGATCATCCGTGAAGTCCAAATCATCTAGTTGATTTCGAGCTGTCCATTTCATTCTTTGCTTCCCATCAGATGTCGAGGTCTTCATAATCCAGTCAACCACCAGAAGAAAGAGAAAGGGAGAAGAGTAAACAGTCTTTTCAAACTCCGGTCCTCCCTTGGAATGCATCTGTCAGCTGTCGTCCATGTACAACTTTGCAGTGTAGTTCATCATATGGATTCTGGATGTTATTGACGATTTTCTCAGGTACGCCATAGTATCGAAAAAGGTTCCATAATGTTCTAACACGGCTGAAAAAGATAGGACAAAATCAAATCTTATTCCATATATAAAGTTTTGAAGTTTGATTATTTGTAAAACATCAAAAAGATCGATGAATGACCTTATAATGATTTTACAAACTATGATAAAATAAATATTATTTATATTGACTCATTCGAAGTGATCTCTGTAATCACAGATTTTACTTATTATCATAATTATCAAAAAAATGGAAATAGTTTTCAATAAACTTTAATATATAATGCAAGAAACTTGAAAGTCTTACAAGGACTCTTCACCACAAACTGATGTTAGCTAAAGGACTACTAGAAAATAAAGAGTACTAAGTGTCAATATGATCTCCATGAATAAATAACGAAGTATTGTTGGTCATCAGACTTCAGTTTCCTGTGTTTGATACTGTAGGGGTCATAGTGCTCATTACTGAAGAGTTTGGAAATAGGTTACAACAACTGATTTAGTGTTTTTTATGTTTTACTAGATCATCAGTTGATTTCAGTTTGTGATAATAATTATATTCAGTATTCATGAGTGTTGATGTTAATTGAACATAGTTGGTAACAAATCATGTAATCAGTGTATTTGCAAACTTAAGAGAACAGATAGTAACTGCTGGATAGAATCAAACTCAGACCACACCATTTCAGACTGTTATGGCATTGGCGTTGGTGTCGTTGAAAGTACTTTATAAAAACAATTTCTCAACTGAATATTCCTATGTATCTGTTCATAATGATTTTAACCGATGGAGTGTCAGAGTGAAATACTTGTATAGGCTCATTGTAAGAACTGTAAAGAATTAGCCACTGATAAGGCTAAGTAATGTAAGTATGTGATCGTAAAAAAATCACTTTGTATCAAATAGTCATATTTGAATTTGATAAATGCAAAAAGCTTATAGTAATAATAATCAATTTATCAGTTGGAAAGTGTAAGCCACAGGTAGAAATGCAGCTGACCTCTTCAATACTTAAATTTGAAAATGATGCATACAGAAATATAAATTAATAATTAGTCACTGGATTATCATTATACCAAATCGGGTATGATATATTTAGGAGCCTATGGGACATGTAGCCTCACAAGAATGGTACCATGAAGACGTGTTGATGAAATGGTATTA